CGGGCCCGGGGAGCCGTGGGCAGGGTGCAGCCTCAGGGGATGGAGGAGCGGGGACCGGGCGCCTGGGGCATGGGGCGTGGGGCGCCTGTTTGCTGGGAGGAGCTGGTCAGGGCTGCCCTCGCCCCGGCTGCTTCTCCCCCCTGTCTGTCCCTGGGGCCTCCATGCCCCTGGAATGGGGCAGCAGGACCTGCCAAGGTACGAGGACAGGCCCCACGAGGCCAGTCCCCCAGGGGACACCGACTGGCCAGCAGTCCTCCTAACCCCATCTGGCGGCCAGGTGCTTTGGCATTTGGTGTCCCTGTTTGAACGTCCCAGCTCAGAACAGTGTGAGTGTGGTACTTAGAGTTGTGGTTTCGAGGGGCCAACAGGTGGCGTGGTGGTTAAGATGCTGGACCCCCACGTGGTTCAAGTCCCAGACCCAAGGCTTGAAAATCACCCTGGGCTAGAGTGCATGTGTGTCCAGATCCTCAGAGTGGAGGAGAGGGTGCCTCGTGGCCCTGCCCCCAGGGGGGACTTCTCACTTTGTCTCCGTCTCTCCAGCGAGCTCACACACCCTACATCATAGAGAAAGATCTTTTCTAAAAAACACGAATAGGATTTAGAGAAATCCCCAGGCCACAGGCACCACGGTAGTGTGCCGGGGCTTCCAGCACACCTGCCAGGCCAGTGGCCGTTTAGAATGTGGGTTTGCAGGGTGGGCAGGCCGGTGGTGACCAGCGGACCAGGGGCCCTGTTACTCATTTTGAACCAGTCACCATTTGAATGGAAGAAGCGCCTTCACTGAGAAATCTGCACGGCCCTGAGGCTCGCAGCCGCCCAGATGGCTTGTTCCTTGGCCTGAGTTAGGCATGGCCTTCACGGCCTGGTGGGCAGGCGCCGTGTCCCCTCCCATGGACACCAGGCGGCATCCTCACGGCCTGTGTGGGCAGGCGCTGGGAGAACATGTCCTGTTCCTGCAGCCGTGTTTACCAGAGCTGGGCCGACCGGAGAGGATGCAGCCTTGGGGCAGGGCCGTTCTCCCTGCCCTGGCCTCAGCCTCGCTGCCCCTCCCACAGCCTCAGGCTCTGTCCAGCAGGGCCCCTGGGCACTGGGACCTGGGCTTCCCGACTGCCCCTGCAGCTGCCTGTGGACGCACGGTCAGCACCTGTGTCACCCGGGCTCACAGTGCCTTGTCCCCTGGCTGTTCTCGAGTGGGCAGCTTTAGCCTAAAGAACGTGCACGGGACTGGCAGAGGGGCATGGGGGGCCCAGGGAGGGAGCTCGTTCCTGCCCTTTGGGCATTGCTGGGCCTGCCTGGCCAGGACAGGCTTGTGTCATTCAGTTTGGGAATGAGTGTGGGTCGCAGGACGTCTTAGACACTTGGTCGGCCTGGGGCCAGCACAAAGGTCCATGGTGGGTGTCCTGGCCTCTGATGTCCTGAGCCACCTCGGAATCCCGGTGCCACCTGATCCTCCCCGTGGAGCAAGCAGTGGCCTATAACCCACAAGAGATCCGGAGATCCGTCCGGGGTTCCCCGTGCTCAGGTCACCTGCCACGTGATGTGAGCTCTGGGATGCGAGAGCAGGGTCCCTAGCCTTGACACAGGAGCCAGGGACTTGAACATGCCCTCGGCTTGGCCCTGCGTGAAGGGGACTGAGAGTGGCCGCCATGTTCGTGGGGAAAGCAGGGTGCGGCTTTGCGCAGTGAATACACGTCAGAATGGCCGGTTAGACGTCCCACAGGCCCAGCCTAGCACTCGAGTGCCCTTCAGCTAGGGATAGGTGCTGCCCTGACCAGAGCCAGGAGAGAGCTGGCGGAGGTGGCAGAGACCGTGCCCGGGAGGGAGGAGCCGCCGCTCTTACTCTCAGAGGTTGGGTGCGTGGTGGGAGGACGTGTCCCTGTCCCTCATGTAGCGTGGTTCAGGGTGGCCATGCCTTTGGGCTTCCCACCGTGGCTAGGTGAGCTTGGCTGTAGGAGCATCCGCGTGCTTGTCCCTCTGGGTGGCCCGGTCTGGCCGCGGGCAGTGTGCTGCCGGCCTGGCACCTGCTCCCACCGGGCACTTCCAGAACAGCTGGCCAGCCCTGCCCGAGGCCCGTCTGGCTGTACCTGCTCGCCCCGGGAGCTCCTTTCACGGTAGGAAACTGGCTTCGAGACCCCTCGCCTGACGAGGGTACGAGCTGGCTGCCCACGGGGCCCTTCCCAAGGGGCGGCACTCCTGCCTGAGCCGTGGCCCCACACAGGGCGTCCTGCCAGCTTCTTGTGGCTAGACTCTGGGGGCGTCAGAAGCCTCGTTGGGCCGCGGGAGGTGGCCTGGGGGCTGACTCGCACCCCTTCCTCTCCTTAGCCCTGCCCCATGCCCCAGGATGCTCGTGGGAACGAGGCTGCCCCGTGGGCATCTGCCCTCGCGGCTGCTCTATGCCTTAGCCGCCTGCCAGCCTGGGCCTGTGAGTCACCAAGGACGGGACCTCCTGCACACGGCACCGGTGGCCCGCACAGCTGCGCCCGTGTTCACCAGGGCCTTGGCCTTCAGGGACAGAGTCGCCCTCATCGACCAGCACGGCCAGCACACGTACGAGGACCTCTATCGCCACAGCCTACGCCTGTCCCGGGAGCTCTGCCGGCTCCGCGGGTGCATCGGGGGCGACCTCGGGGAGGAGAGGGTCTCTTTCCTGTGTGCCAATGACGTCTCCTACGTCATCGCCCAGTGGGCGTCGTGGATGAGTGGTGGCATCGCGGTGCCACTCTACAGGAAGCATCCCGAGGCCCAGCTGGAGTACATCATCCGGGACTCCCGGAGCGCCGTGGTCGTGGCCGGGCCCGAGTACGTGGAACTGCTGAGCCCGGTGGCGAGGCGACTGGGCATCCCCCTCCTGCCACTTAGCCCCGAGGTCTATGAGCGAGCCGCAGAGGAGCCGTTGGAGGGGCAGGGCCCGGAGCTGGCCTGGAGAGACCGGGGTGCCATGATCATCTACACCAGCGGGACCACAGGCAGGCCCAAGGGCGTGCTGAGCACCCACCGCAACCTCGAGGCCATGGTGAGCACACGCGTGGGTGGCGGGAGCCCCACACGGGCAGTCCCACACAGGCAGTCCCACACGGGAGCCACACATAGGAGCCCCACACGGGAGCCACACACGGGCAGTCCCACACGGGAGCCCCACACAGCAGTCCTACACAGGAGTCCCACACGGGCAGTCCCACATGGGCAGTCCTACACGGCAGTCCCACACGGGAGCCACACATAGGAGCCCCACACAGGAGCCCCACACAGCAGTCCCACATGGGCAGTCCCACACAGGAGCCCCACATGGGAGTCACACGGGAGCCCCACACAGGAGTCACACATGGGAGCCCCACACAGGAGCCCCACACAGGCAGTCCCACACGGGAGCCCCACACGGGAGCCCCACACGGGAGCCCCACACGGGAGTCCGGTTTGGCCTGCTGGCTCAGAGAGCCTCATGTCTACGGCGAGGTCTGGATGGCAGCAGGGAGGGAGTGGGGACAGCACGTTCCAGACGGGGCCAGGCCCTAGCCTGCTCCATGGCGAGCATGCGTGACACTGCCCCGCAAGGAGCACATGTCAGGAGGGGGCTCCTTGGCGCTGCTTCACAGGGCATGGGGACACGGCGGGCTGTGTGGTTCCCAGGGCCCCCTCGCACCTCCTGCCTCCTCCTGTTGGAGCCGAGGGGCTGGAAGTGCCTGCTGCCTGCAGAGACCGCCCGCACCTTCCCGGCGCCTGTTTCCCCACCGGCTCACGTCCTGACACCTCGGTCCCTTCACTGCTGTGCCCCCTGAGCTCCCTCCCTGTGGGTCTGCAGCGCAGGGCTCCCGTTCTCAGGCTGCGCCGCTGTCCCCACAGGTGACGGGGCTGGTGCGCGAGTGGGCGTGGACCAGAAACGACACGATCCTGCACGTCCTCCCGCTGCACCACGTCCACGGCGTGCTCAACAAGCTACTGTGCCCGCTCTGGGTGGGGGCCACCTGCATGATGCTGCCCGAGTTCAGCGCCCAGCTGGTGAGTCGGGCCGGCCTGCAGCCTCGCAGGTGCCCGGGCTTTGCAGGCTGCACGAGCTGCTGTGGCTGCTGGACAGAGCCTCCGGGCCTCAGGGCCTTGTTCAGAGCACGAGTTTGAGGCCAGCAGATGGTGCAGCAGTTAGAGCACTGGACTCCCACATGGATGACCTTGGTTCAAGTCCTGAACCCAGTGGCTTGAAAATCACACCGGGCATGGGTGCGTGTGTGCCCAAGATCCAGGAGGAGAATGGAGGAGAGGGGATTGCGGCATGGCCACCCCCCTTCAGTGTCTCTGTGCTCATCTGATGAGCACATGTGCCCTGAGTCAAAAGCCTCTTTTAAAATAAAAAGAGAGCAGGGACCAGCAGTTGGCGTAATGGCCATGTCGCTGAACTCCCAGGTAGTCAACCGAGTTTGAGTCCTGGACCCGGTGGCTTAAACTCACGCCAGGCGCATGTGCATGTATACCCAAGATCCCGAGAGGAGAATGGAGGAAAAGGGATTGCGGCGTGGCCATCCCCCTTGGGGGTGATTTTTGTCTCTCTGTCTCTGTCTCTCTGGCGAGTGCACACGCCCTATAGCAAAATCCTCTCCAAAAAAAAAAAAGAGAGAGTAGTGCCACTGGTCTGGCGCTGCAGGAGGGCAGTCTGCACGTGAGCAGCTGTAGGCGGGCCCCACCCACAGGCTCCATGCTCCACAGACCGGGCGTCTCTGCTGTCTGCAGGCCCCCTGCGGGGGGACAGCCCAGGATCGTCCCCTCGGGAGCCTCACCAGTCCATCTGTGGGTCTTTTTCTCTGCAAGCTGACACCCAGGGTCAGGAGGCAAGGGCTCGTGGGTGAGACGTGGTGGGCGGTCTGCCGAGATCTCTAATCCATCTCTGCTCTCCTCCTCTCCTGCGTCGCCAGCCAGCGGCCACCAGGCTGCTGTCACGGCTCACCTGTGCAAGTCAGTAAACGATGGCCATCCCTTTGGGGGGAAGACAGACCGGGTACAGCCCCGACCCCAGCCCTGTGCCCCAGTGCCTGGCTTAGCTCCCAGCCTGAACACGTGCTTCCTCTGGGCTGGGCCGTCCCACCCGGCTGCCCTGGATTCTGTACTGACGTGGGGGGCTTGGCGAGGCGGAGGAAGAAAATGACTTTTTTAAAAAATGAAGGGATTTGGCCATTTCATCAAAATTGTCAAATTTATTGGCAAAACGTAGTTTTTCATTTCTGTACTTCTTTTAACTGTCTCTAAGATCTGTAGTGATGTCTCCTTAAATATCTGGTATTTGCAGTCTGCGTTTTCTCTTTTAACCACTCTTGCTTTAGAGGTTTATCAATTCGATTGATTCCTGCTTGTATCTTATTGACATGGTATTATTCCCTTGCTTGAGTGACAGCTGGTGGCCGTAAACTTTGTTTATTCACCCTTGTGTCCCTTTCCTGGTGCTTCCATCTGCCCCCACAGCTCTTCATGTCTCTTTTCGATCATTTCTCTTGGTTTCACATGACTGAAAATGTTTTCGTACATCTTCCTCTTAAATAAAATAGCTCTATGAAGATGTAACTCATATAAGTTTACTATTGCAGAATGACTCATGATTTTTATTAAACTTACAGAATTGTGCAATTATTGGGCCAGCTTATGTCATGGTAGTTAAGGTAACTGGATCCCACATGGCTGACTGCTTGGTTTGAGTCCTGGACCCCATGGCTTGAGAAATACATCGGCACTGGTGCACGTGTGCCCAAAACCCCAAAAGGAAAGGAGAAGTGGAGGAGAAGGGATCGCGATGTGACCGTTCACCTCGATGGATGCTTTCTCACTCCACTGCCGTCTGGCGCGTGCGTGCACACATCGTCTGGTAGGAGAGTCATGCACCCATTACCTCGATCCAGGGCCCGTTTTCCGTCAGCCCCTGCTCCCATTAGCTCCTTCCACTCTTCAGAATGCTTTGGCTCGCACATACTAGCGTGCGTACTAGTTTTGTTCCTGAGCTGCGTTCTGTCGTGTGTAAAACCACATTTTGTTTGTCCGTTCACCATTTTCCAGGCACTGGCTTGTGTCTGGTTTTCGGCTGTTGTGAGTAACACTGCCGTGAACGTACACATGCCGAGTTTTGCATGGGCATGCTTTCTTGTCTTATATACATACGTAGGAGTAGATCGATCGTTTTGTAAGGTAACTTTATGTGTGATGGTTTCAGAAACTGCCAAATTGTTCTCCAGAACGGCTGTATCGCTTTACAACGCACCGTCAGTGTGTGAAGGATGTAGTTTCTTTCTTTTTTCCCTTTTTTTTTTTTTTTTTTGGTCACAGGGCACATGAGCTCACCAGAGAGAGACAGAGGCAGTGAGAGGGAAAATGATAAATCACTTCCCAGGAGAAAGGCCAAGCCACAGTCCCTTCTCTTCCATCCTTCTCTTGGGATTTGGGGCACACATAGGTGCCCAGTGTGATTTTAAAGCCACCAGGTCTGGGACTCAAACCATGGTCAGCCACGTGGGAGTCCAGCACCCCAACCACCATACCACCTGCTGGCCCCAGGGGTCTGTAGTTTCTTAACACCCTCACTAACACTTGTTATTGGCTTATTGCTGTTACAGTGGGAGTAAAGTTGGGTCTCATTGTGGTTTCAGTTTCCATTTCCTTCATGGCTACCATGCCAAGCATTTTTTCTTGTCCTTATTTGTGTCATTTTACCATCTTTGGTGAACTGTTTAAGCAGATCTTTTGCACCCCACCCCCTTTTTTTGGAAAGA